CTTGATGATTGGACTAAGATGTGGAAAGAAAGCTATAAGATCTTTAAACCAGTAAATTTAAGAGAAAACATACTCAAAATGTTTTACAGATGGCACTATACACCTGTAAGATTAGCAAAAATGTCAGAGGGTAACAGCAATATATGTTGGAAGTGTAAAAAAATGTAGGAACTTACTATCATATGTGGTGGACATGTGAAAAGGTCAAAATCTTTTGGACACAGGTATGGGATCTAGCAAGAGAAATTACTCAGCAGAAGTTAGATATAAAACCTGAAATGGCATTACTGAATGTCATTTCAGGAGTAAATGATAATAAATTGAAGCATTGTCTCATGTATATACTCACAGCAGCTAGATTACTCTGGGCCCAAAAATGGAAACCAGAAGAGGTTCCGACGATAGAAGAGCTGTTAAAAAAGTTATGGGACATAGCAGGACACTCTATCAGAAGCACTACGGGAACAGCCAAGGGACTATGTAAAACAAAGCTAAGGACTAATATACTCTTGGGCCCAGAAGAAGACAGGAGTGTAGGGCAAAATTTATGATATATGTATGATCATTTAGTATATATTGCAAATCGGTTTTTTTTTCCTCTTGTCTTTTTCCTTTTTTAGTATGGTTTCTGTATGTTAGAAAATTAGTTTAAATAAATAAAATTTAAAAAAAGAAAAAAGAAAAAAATAATTTCTGGATTTGCTAATTTTAAGAATGAAACCTAGAAATGATGTAAATAAATGGAACTTGTATATAATTAACAAGTTCTGGAGTGGCCTGGAATTATTGCAACAATGAAGACACTTATAATGAGATACTCCAGAAGAGTTTACAAACAGCTTGTTATTGATTATTTGGTTTCATTCTAGTGTTAACCCTTTACCGGGATGTCAGCTATGATGAATCATAGAATCTGTTCTTTTTAACTGGGAGGTCTGTAAATCTTTGTAGGACTCCTGGAGAAGTCAGTTATCCAAATCAGTATCTGGCACACTGCATCCTGCATAATAACAGCCATGACAAAAGGCGGGGAAAGAGGTGGGTGTCAATAATCAAAAGGAGGAGAAATTGGAGCAATCTGAAGTGCTGTCTAGATCCTTTTCTTAAGAGAAGAAATGTCTCCCACATGAATGGAAGAATCATTCATGTGCAAGATAAAATAGACTGCACCAAAGATAAGAGCCTTATAAGAGCCTTTTAAACGTTACCCAGATTGCTTCAAATTCCCCCACCTAGTCACATCCTTATGCACATCACTTACTATCCCATTCTTCACAAACCTCAGCTCAACATGCAAAAGAAGTTATTAGTTAATGCCAGCCACTCATCTTGCTGAGTTTTATACTCATCTGGATGGCTTTTACCCCACTTCTGACCCTCTACAAGCTAGAAAGAAGGATTTCTTTTTCACGCACTACTGCCCTGGGTTCACTGCAAAGCTGTAATTACTTAGGAACATCAGTTGAAAAAAGGATTGTAGATAGTGCTCTCTTTGTTTTGAGAAAGAGCAGATTTTCAGGAATAAGCTTGCAAAAAAAAAAGTTAAGTGTCTACTTTACTTATAATATACAGGATGCTGACAAAAGGGAAGGGCTGCTCCTTGAGATTTCCTTCCTAGCTTCCTCGACCCAACCCTGACATTGAGTTTCTTCACATTTCTCCATTGCTTACGATACGGATTCATCTGGGGGAAAGATTGGCTTATATTGGTGTGTCTGTAACTAATTTGTTTGTAATGTTCTAAGTAAGATTTTGTTTTCATCAATTTATCATTGCCTGCAGCACCTGTACAGCTAGAAGGACAAACTATACATAAGAGAAATATAATGTCCCCTTCTATATATTTCCCCATCTGCTTCCAGCACTGGCTACTGTGAAGATCCAGGAGAAATGTACAGCCTTGTGCTTTCTTTTACCTATACAGCTACAACTACAGCCTATTGGAAGCAAGCAGTCTCTTATAAAAGAAGTGTCTCACATCTCCAGCTAGAATAAACCAGCCCGATCTTGGCAAAGTTATCTCCTACCTTATAGAACCTCCAACTAGTATGATGGCCACTTCTCCAAGGCCTGCACTTGACTCCCACATAACAACCACACAGGCTGTTTCTCTTATGCACCTCTGAAGGGAACCTTAGACCACCTCATCCATCCAGATGGACTGCCCCCTCAAGGAACCATCCTTTACTGCTTATTCTCCTCAAGGCCGTTTGCCCTGATTGCCTGCCTTAGTAGCAGAAATATATATAAACGTTGGTGTAGCAACTGCTGGAACAAACTGGAGGTCCACTGACTAAACCCAGGTGGACAGGTTTTATGTCCTCATTTCTGTGTTTTAACCCCTAATTTTTATACAGTAGCAAATTCAGGTCCGGGCTGTATAATTTCTGGCCATTAAAAAGAGCTTGAACAATTGATTCCTCAATAAAATAAATGAATAAGAAAAATCCCCTTGACCTAGAAGACTGTTATGTGATAGGAGAACCCTACTTTCTCATAAAAGATGCCAAAGTTTGAAAAATTATTTTTAAAGGTAATTACATACAGTGGGGTCTTGACTTGAGAACTTAATCCGTATTGGAAGGCGGTTCTCAAGTCAAAAAGTCTGTAGGTCAAGTCTCCATTGACCTACAGTGCCTTGAAAACCGATTAATCCCGTAACAGGCCATTTCTGTTCCATTTTGGTTTTTTTCTGGTCTGTAAGTCAATTCTCAGGCTGCAAGTCAAACCTAAATTTTGCGGCCAGAGAAGTCTGTAACTCAAAATGTCTGTAAGTCAAGCCGTCTGTAAGTCAAGGGTCCACTGTACTGGCTGAAATCCTGTTGCTTAGTGTAGCAAGTCACAGTTAGAGTAGGCTATATGAATCAGTGAAACTAACAGAGGACTTTACCCACAAAAACCTCAGTGATTTACTGGGCCTATTGTAGTTTCAACTCACCATACTAAGCAACAGAATTTCAGCCAGAATGACAGTTTTAAGGCCTAAACAGTGACTAATTATAATTTTTGAAATTCTGTATATTCCCATTTCTCATGAATACCCAGAATTGTTGATCTGTAAGCTGTTGATTCACATCAGAATATTAGAAAATGGAACATATTCATTAGTGGGGAGAATTTCTATGACATGTCATATTTTTTTCTGCAACCTATGGTTTTTCCTTGTGGGTGGGTTTGAACATGTTAATGTGTAATCTGGTGAGAAAGGCCAGATTACGTATAAACAAATTTGTACTTGTTTATGGGTTCAAATGTAGGTTGGAGAGAAAATATGAAATGTCATAGAAATCTTCCCCCTATTAATCACTATTTGTATTCTGTAGAACAAAAAAAACCCCACAGATAATCTTTCTAATGTAGGCAAGTGTAATACGGATAAAGAGAGCTGCTCTCATTTTTGGACTCTGTTTGTGGGCATAACTTGTAAATCTATCATAAGTGCCTGTACATTAACATTTGCCACTCACACCCCTAATCTCATCCCTCTACACACCCTTACAACTATTTATTTAGTTGTCCTGTTTAGAGGTCACATTTCTCCTGACAGGGGGAATAAAGGCATCTCACAATATTAAAAAGAATAATATTTAAAACACAATAAGGTATACATTAAAACATTAAAACTATAAAACTGATTAAAATACAATCAAATAATTAAAAACAGGTAAAATGTTAAAAACTATCTTAAGTTTTAAAAATGGCATTCAGGACTCAGTCATGATTGTTAAACGTCTGCCTGAAAAGATGGGTCTTCAGCTGTCAGCAGAAGGATAAAAGGGGGAAGGGAACAACCTAACCAAGAGAGAGCAGGCATGGCTGATGGGGTGGTGAGAGAGGGTTATGCTCATCACTGTGCCCTTTGCTACATGCTTACACCAGACAGCAACTGCTGGTGTATGCCTTCTATAGTCTCTCCCCCACCTAAATGCTGTCCAGGGGATTGGCTACACAGGTGCTTTTGGAGTGATCAAGCACAGGCTTGATAGGGTTAAAAATATTGGCAAATTGAACACTTCCTCTCTTTGCCAGAAAGGCAGGGGAAGTGGATTTTTAAGGACTAGTAAACCATCACTGATATGCTGCATGACTTAAAAACATTTTTTTAAAATCAGTACCTTGTCTTAAAGAAAATGTTTTTTTATTATAAGCTATGCAGCACATCAAAGATGGTCTACTACTGTTGAAAAAAAATTCTGCTGTCTAGATTATCACATACAGTATAATGACAATGTGTTACTGTTTGTATTCTGAAACATTAGCAACAGAAAATAAGTGCAAAGACTTTTCAATATACAGTGGAACCTCGACTTACAAACTTAATCCGTATTGAAATGGTGTTCGTACGTCTAAACTTTCATAAATCGAAGCAAAATTCTCCATAGGAATGCACTGAAAACCATTTAATCCGTTCTGGCTGTTTTTGGTTCTTATGTAGAGGTGCTGTTCGCAAGTAGAGGCATTAGTTCCCATAGGCACTAATGCAAAACCGGTTAATCCATACTCTACCATTAGGGGGAGGATTTTTTTCTTTTTTCTTCTTTTGACCTAAAATGAACTTAAGTCAAAAAAAGGGCAGGAAAGGAGGTAGGGGGGAGGGAACACCTTCTAAACACAAGACCTTTTAACCCAAGCACCTTTTAAACAAAACCAACCACCTTTTAGCTTAAAAAAGGGACAGGAAGGCAGGAGAACACCTTTTAAACAGTACACTTTTTTTCTGTTCCTAAGTCGAAGCTCCATTCGTAAGTCGAAGCAAAATTTTGCGAACGGAGCAGTTCATAAGTTGAAATGTTCGTAGGCAGGGATGAGTGGTTCATAAGTCAAAATGTTCGTAGGCAGGGACGTTCGTAAGTTGAGGTTCCACACTACCTTTATGGAAAACGTACTTCTAGCAATTATCCTGTCCTTCCGAAGCAGACCTTTTATAAAGCAAACTGCACTTTTAACTACATATTCTTGACCAAACACATTACATAACAAGGAGGACAGCTGACAAGAAGATATAGCTTCTGCCCAACTCCCTCCAAGACATTTCTACTCCTCTCCATAGTGAGGATTGCAGCTAACCTCAGAAAGAGCAGGAAAACACAATGGTTATATGTGTTTACAAATGATATAACCATCCCTATCACTCAAAACATCTTAATTCGTTGACCCTTAAAAGCCTTGGCAGGTGAAATCAAACTATTTAATGGTAACAGTATCAGCCATTTCAGGACTACGTTCTGTGTGAAGAAAGAATCAATGTTAGAATGTTAGCAGACACAACTCAGATAGAATGAAAACAAAGGGAGCAATTTTCCAGAGTGCTGTGCAGGACCTCTGCCCCATGCATGCAGAGTTGTGGCTGCAACTGGAAGCAAGCAGGTGTCCCCCCCCCCAGTGCTGCAAAGTCCCAATCCAGCACTGCATGGCTATGCAGCCACACAGCTTATAAGGAAGGTTGAAAGGAAGCTCTCAGTAAGGCAATACTTGATTTTAACATGACAAAAACACATGGAGAAAATGTAACTCGCGTTGTTCAATAGCCTAATGTGTTCAAACCAACCATCCACTTCCCTTTGGATGACAACAAAGTTTATTTACTTCTCAACCTATCAAATATTAAAGCTTCCCATCTTAGCAAACCACCAATGTTGGAACGGTGCTAGTTTAGTCATATTACTCACTACAAAGAGTGGTACTCCCTCCTTCCCAACGACAAAAAGCCCCTCTTACAGCACCCTGCTGTAGAAATGTAAAGCTCTGAGTACATCAGTGCAATGTTTTGCCCAGAAATGAGACACTTTCCTTTTTGGACTCAAATTCACCAAATCCCCTAGAGCAAGCCATTCTCTGGGAGGCCCTGGTACATTTGAAAGCAGCCAGAGACTGGAAAAATAATTCTCCACACACCACCTTATTAGGTTTGTTATATGACTTATGAAATCCTGATTCGGCCTATATTTCTTTCATATTGTATTTATGGCCCTCGTCCAAACGGCCCGGGGGGAGGTTGAGAATGGCAGCCCAAGAGAGCTTGGTAACTGTCCATGTTGACTTGGGTGCTCTGGGAGTTGTAGTATCTCCCCCCCCTCAAAAAAAAAACCAGCAGTGTATCTCATATCTGGTTCTGCTCCACAGCAAAGCAGATTACTTCTTTCCAGACTGTGAAATCATTGTGTCATTAACAGGTTCCAGCAGACAGACATTGATAGCTTTTATAGAAGGTCTATGTTTTCTCTCTGCAGCTTCTAATATCATTTAGCAAGCTTGTGGAACATTAAAATGGATGGCTTCTTTCAATCTATTGCACAGTAATCCTCCAGTGTGAGAAATTCTGTCTCGTGATTCTCTATCTACTCTTCCTCTGTTTAGTATCTTAAATTTTGCCAACAGTTTAAACACATATTTGTTCTCTCGAAAACTACTTTTAAGTTTTGTTTTTAACACTAGTATGGAAAGGTAGTATAGGCAGCTGGGGTATCTACACAAAGACAGGGTCTTTGTGTAGCATACAGATTGTTCTCTTTGCAACTTCAGTAATAAGGCACTGGGCAATCAATCTAGAAAGGAGTGGTCAGAATCCTACTGGAGATTCATGCCAGCATGAAGTGCAATTGCATAAATCATGGTGCTGCATTGCTGCAAATCAGCAAGTTGCTGCTTATATTCCTGGTCTCGTGCCAGCAGGGAACTAGCACAGGAAGGTGACAACTCATTAATTAGCAGCACTTTGCCAGAGCAGTTTATGCAATTACACTTACACCAGCATAAATCTCTACCAGAATTCTGGCCAATACGTAGTTAGAGTCATATAAAGAATTCTTCCTCCTCCTCCTTCTCAGTTCCATGGCTTGCTCCTGATGTTCCCAACCAAAAACCAGACGGGCTCTGTACTGATGTTTGATTACTTTTGGCAATACGTGATAACAGACTGCTTCTGTCCTCAGGTTGCAAGCAGATTCTGGACTCAGCTCCAACGAATGAACAGCATGGCGCCTGGGACTGAGGAAGACCATTCTGTAAATCCTTCGAAAAGCTATTTAATGGGGAGTCGCTACATTCAGAAGATAATACTCTGCTCCCTGTGTCAACATTCATCTCCTCCTCTTCTTCCCTTTGGCACAGCCAGAGTTCATGGCTGGAATGTCTCCGTTTAGTAGCCAGAGTCAATTGGGAAGGACTGAGATCCCGTGGGGAAGACTCTGCTGGTCTATGGGGCAAGGAAGAAGAACAAAAAGTGCTTTGGGAAGGGCTATGAGGACTTGCCAGAGTGCATTCCCCTCCCTGTGTAGATTTATGCTTATTCTTCACAGCTCTCAGGGTCCGATTTTTATGCTGCCCAGTGGTTCTTCTGGTGGCCAATGAGGAAGGACTGATACGGTAGTGGGGGAGACCTCCCTCATCTGCAGTGTTGTGCCCCCTGCAAGATGAACCTTGGTTTTCACTGTAATTTGCGGTGCCTTGAACCTATGGGAAAAAGAAGAGGAAGTTAAGTCTTTCCTCGCATTATTGACACCAATAATGGTGATCAGGTCTTCACCCGATCCTGTGAAGACATCAAATATTTAAAAGGTTGCACTAAGAAGTACATTTTAAACAAACCCCCAGATCTGACCTGTAGCCTCTTCTGTAGCTGTCTAATAGGTATGATCAACTATTAGATTGGGTGTAGATTGGAGCATTTTGAAAATAGGCTGCATTACCCGTTGCTATTCTTAATAAACATGGAGTGCATCTATAGTGTAGTTACAGCACTTTGGTAGTACTTTTAACTGCCACGGCCCTCTCCTGCAGGAATTATTTATTTGGTGAGATAAGTAGATGTCTCTAGTAGGAAAGTCTAGCACAGGAGAAGTACAGTAGAGATCATCAGCAAAAAATTCTAAGTACCTCATCAGACTTCAAACCCCAGTATTCACTGGATAGAGCCATGGCTATTAAAATGGCATCTGATTCAACAGTATAGTGCAAATACACACTCAAAAATATGCTACATATGCAGAGGCCCAAACAGGCAAAAACAAATGCTTTGATTACCATTATAAAGCATTAAAAACCCCTTTAATCTTAGATAAGATATATTCATCAAGTCCACTATTTTGTTTTTTAATTGTCCTATTTACTCATATATTCCTACAATACCTGTTTCAGCATATCAAACAGAAAAGAAATACATATTTCTTAGAAATATATATATGAATACACACACACACACACCTTTCCTTTATATATAAAGATAGAATTTCCAGTATGGAATTAATTTGTTCTTGTCTATTTTTAAGTGTCGCTGCATGGGTTGTGTATCCACACATTTCCTTGTCCTGGCATTTTCAAGAACTGTAACATACTGTTTGGATTCCAATGGATGAAGACCAAGCAAATATTACTCTTATTCAAACTCAGAGAATACTTCACCAGGTTTGGGTATATCAAACTGTCCTTTCATTTTTGCAACTCAGGATGAAGGCAGGGTAAACATCAAACAGAAATGAATTTTCTATTCCAAACACTGGGCAAGGTGGGAGGGGGATAACAAGAGACTGTCAATTCTTTAAACAAATACTCTCAGAGTATTAAAAATGAATGCAGGAACAGTTGCTTATGAAACCAGCAATACCAAACAATCTAATGCAGCATCTAATACTACAGCACTGAAGATCACAGGAAAAGGAAAGCTAACCTGAGATGGGCTAACTCTAAAGAAAGATACTGTACAGCTTTTAGTCTACAGCACCTGAAAAGGGCTTTTAATGACAGGAACTTCTGGAAACCATTAAATCATGATGATAGTAATAATAATACTACGTAAGAATAATACTACGTAAGACCTCAACTTATGGCAACCCTCCCTGGGTTTTCTGGGTATGAAGTACTCAGATGGTTTACCAGTTCATCCTTCTTTGGTACGCTGGGACTGCACATCTAGCACAAGGCTGCACAAGCTGCAGACATTTAACCCCATCAGCCAGTCACACAAGCTCCAGGAGATTCCAGCTGGTTCTTCCTGGGAGACAAAGTGGGTGGTTTTGAACTCCCAGTCCTGGCTCTGCTGCCAGGCACACTCTAATATAATACCAGTCCACCATTCATTCACATGATCACTGTAAATCAGAAATTATTTGATGGTGCATAAGACTCATAAAACAGCATTTACTACAAGCATAGCCATTATTAAAAGTCACTATCCACTGCAAGAAGCCTAAGCGACTATGACCACGATGCTGCTTTAAAGGAGGACTTTTGTGGCACTGCTACTAAATTAGGGCATGTGGGTCACAAGCAGCCCAGGGCCCCCCCTCTGTCTATTACAATGCTTTGCTATTCTGCTCACTACTGACAAACTGAATAATACCTGCAGCAGGATCCTGTTGCCTTCGTAGTCTTCAGTTTGCCACCTAGTGCTGCTGATGGGAATGCAAGGATTTGGCAGAAGTGGCACCAGCTGTCCAATTTCATGCACCTTGAACTGCAGCACTGAGGACTCCTTGGAGTCAACAGACATCCCCACAGGCAGCTGCTTCAAGCAGAGCTGAACTGCAATGCTTTGGGTTGCGTAGAGTACAAAGGCACAGAAGCTGCTTTTCTGCACCGTTGCCTTTTTCTGCAGGATCATCTCATAGAGCCTGACTGTATCATCATAGTTATCAAAGCTACAGTAGAGGGTGATGCGCAGAATTTCTGTGCCGTAGTGGACCTGCCGTAGTCCCCACACGGGCATATGCTCATCCAGCCCATAAAAGTCCTGAGAGTCAAGGGCCTGGGGAGACCGTTTTCCACTGGAACACGCCACGTGGACACGGTGCCAGGGTGGGTGCTGGAAAAAATCATGGACTTGGAAGATCCGTTCTTCCCCAAACTCCTCATGTAGAAAAAGCAAAACAGATGTTCCAGGGAACCTGGTGCTCCTCTGGTGATAGGTCTCATAGTACTTAACGGGAGAAGTGCGCTCTGATACGAGGAAGAGATGGACATCTAGGCAGATCCATGCCTGAAGCTGGTCCAGGGTGTGCTGCAAAAGTATCGCATGTCCAGGTTTGGCAAGCAGGTGTACAGCCATCGCTAAGGAGTCAGCTCTTCCATCCATTGTACGGTGACCTAGAAATAAAAGATATAACATCATTCCGACATCAATGTTTGCAGATGAAAGAATCTCACAAATTTCCAACAACAACAACAACAAAAAGGGATTAAAACATGCACTTCCCAGCCATTTCCCAAATAGTCATGGTTTGTAAACCTCTTTACGAGAGTCATACCAAATGAACAGTATTTTCATTACCTGCACTTTAAATCCGAAGTTCTACAATGAGAATGGGCGATGTTTCCCATCCCTTAAGACTCCAGAATGAGCTTTGGCTATTAAAACCCAACTCAAGTTTTAAAAAAACTAAATATAGATTATACTGTTATAAACGTAGCACTGCCTGAATGCATTTTATGTTATTGCTATGTTTTTAAAATATCATTAAAAAAATAAAACACTTCACATTTCCAAATGTACAGCCCTGACTTCAGATTTCATTCAGTGCAAAAATATTACAAAACTTGGAGGAAGAAGGTTATAATAAACTGTCAGGAATATCAGTTCTGCTAAGCCAGTATCAGTTTTATACCCAATACTGTGTAAAATTGCCAGCTGAAACAGACCATTCCCTGAGACTGTATTGCCATTGCTGTGCAAATTCAAGGGAGAGCTGACATTTTAAAGGGCCAGCTTTCATGCTGCCTCTCTTCAGCTCCACAATTTCCGAGTCTCTGTGCCAACTGTGCTGTTTCGTTTTGTGTTGTAGTCTTTGTTGTACAAAGGACGGAATCTTCCAAAGGCAACACCCATCTGGCCTTTACTGATAAACCTTTCTTTTAAAGGCAGAAAGGAAATAGGACAACAGAAGCAACATCCATGTGAACTCCACAGATAACAGCTACCTGTCTCCAAGAAGCAAGTGGAAGAAATGCAAGTCTTCAATGACAGCCCCACTTACGGCTGTCCCAAACAGTGCCATTTCATTTGGCTTCAGTTATTCCACAGCTAACCGAGGGCATGTCCATTTGTGATCTGGAGATTGTTGCTGCTGATTTAATGCATCCCTACTTATTTCACAGGGTTATGGTCAATAAAGGAAGCACCAAGCACATTATTTATTTAGATATCCTAGTACAGTATGTCCCATCTTGTTTTTTCCTCAGGGAGTTTATGGCAGCATACAAGGCCCTCCCTCTACTTATTTTATCTTCATAGCACTGCTGTGATGTAGGGAAAAAGAGAAAATTTACAGAAGACAGGAAAGAAGATAAAATACTATAGTGTCAGCCCAAAATATGCAGAATTAAAAGTTTCCTTTTTAAGGGAAATCAGTCTATGGCCTATAGACAGATTCAGAGACCACCTCGCCTCAATTTGGGGGTGGCCCTCCTATTGTCGCAAAGTGAAAATCGGTTCCCAAAGCAGGGAACTGATAATCGCAAAGCGGAAAAACCCCAGGTGAAAATCGGTTCCGCGATCGCAAAAGTGATCGCAAAAACCTAATCGTACAGTGATTTCCTCATTAAGCGAGGCAATCGTTAAGCAAGGCACCACTGTACTATAGGTAACTTGTGTAGTATCCTAGATTTAAACCTGGGGTAAGTAACTATGAACTGCCAGATGTATCTGAATTACTGTTCTCATAATCCCTCACCTTTGGCTATGCTGGCTACTACTGCTAAACATTGCAGGCCAAAAACATATGGAAGGCCACCACTGCCCATCTCTGATTTTAAATTGTCTAACTGGCACCTTCCCACCCCAAACTAATAAGCAGTTGGTCTTTTGTAAGGAGGATGAGACATAGCCAGATGGGTCTCCATCTTTATCACACTGCTTCTGAAGAAGTTGTGCCTGACCACAGAACTGCTCAACAGATAGGGAAAGTACTATCAACTCTAATCTAGCCTGAGATCTGTTTCTGCTGTGGCCTCACTGTGTCTGCTCTCTTAGAAGATTGCATTTCCCAGCTGTAAAAGGAATATAACGTTCTCATATGCTTCTGCTGTGTAATGCCTTATGAAAAAAGAAATGCTATATTATGAACTGTATTACATTTAAATGAGGCAAAAATGAAAGTGCCATCCTTGTGGCTTTTAAATGCTGGCATTTGTAAGATACAGATAATATTGATTTCAGAAAATTCCACTCCTAAGTCACTGCAAATAAGTCAGAAAGTACTGCTCCTCTAGCAATTCAGCTTTGATGCTGTATGCTTAATGCCACCTCCTGGGGGAACTCCTCAAGCTAGAAATCTGTGCCTTGTTGGGGAACGGGGAGGTAGAAACCATGCAATACAGCAATTATCTCGTTATCAGTAATTGCCACCTGCTTCCCACTTTCCTGTACAATCTTCCTGTGTGGGAGTGTGCTAATATCCTATCTTACTGAAAACCCTAATTTTCGTAAGTATGAATGTAGCAGGCAGTTTTACCTTGTTCTCCCAGCTACTAATCAGATAGGTTTTCCCAACAAATCCATGTTTTGTCATATTTAGCTTTGTGTTCATGACTGATTTCTCCCCTACAAACAATGTATGCCAATGCACAAAGCAAAGACAAACACACACAGACACACTTTTCTTTTACTTTTTTGTCTATGTGAAGATCAGATGAAACTCATGAAAAAGTGTATTTAAAAACAGACTTTTGAAATAAGAGGAGTCACACTGCATACATGCTTGAAAGTGCACTGAAATCTGCTAGTGAGGATTTCCTGTGTCCCATCCTCCTTTGTATGGAGACATGGAAGAAGGCCTTCTCTGCTGTAGCACTCTGGCCGCAGAATGTCTTCGCCATGAAAACACAACCTGTGTTAACACAAGACTCATTCTGGGGCTAAGTTAAAACCTAGTTCTTCATTGAAGCTCTTAATCCAAGTTTAACTACTCCATCATACAAAATTCTAAGATTTGTCCTGTAGCAAGCATTTTTCCATGTATAAAATGCCCCATGTATAAGACCCCCCATTTTCCAACCCAAAATTAAGAAATCAATATTTTAAACATAAAACAAAATACATTTTTATTTAGTAACATTTACATACCAGTACTATCATATCACACTCAGCTTTGAGCATATCACTTTATTCAGCCTCTGGACTCAGAACTCTCTGACATTACCAGTCTCTGTTGCATCTGAGCACTGCCTACATGCTCCATCTCCAACGAGATGCGTTCTAATTGGTTATTTCAGCATCAGCTGACATCAGTTACATGAGGCTCATGATTGGAGGAAGCCTGTTTGCAGAGGCAAGGTATGGTAAGTTTTGTAATCACACAGTTCTCTCCTCAGCTTACTTCTGTGTATAAGACAACCGTCAATTACAAAAGTATTGTCCTATACATGGAAAAATACAGTACTTACAATTTTCTTCTATCATTCAGGATAATGTTCTAGAAGTCCCCAGCAGATCATTCTCAGTACCTTACCAGACTAGAATTCCCAGGATACTGTAGAAGCATGGAAGCTAAACTATGAAACTGCTGATGCAGATACACCATTGCTTCTGGATTTCTGTTACAGCATTCATGGTGTGCTAGTTTGTCCGTTCAGGGGATCTCTCTCTCTCTCTCTCTCAAGCCACTTAGCCACACTCTTGTTTATCCTGGAGTGTGTGAACCTAGAAGAGTCTGTTGTGATGAGGCCCATGGAACCAGCCTGGTATGAGGGCTTAGAATACTGTCCAGTCCAAATAATTCTTTAGGTGGGCACACTGTTGGGCTGGAAGGATGTGAAAAGATATTGCTTTACTGAGTTTATAACTGTGCTTATTTTCTGTTTCCTTCTGTTAAGGAACCTTGTAATGAGGGTGAAAGAGGAGAGTGCAAAAAAAGGTCTGAAGCTCAACATAAAAAAACACTAAGATCATGGCCACTGGTCTCATGACCTCCTGGCAAATAGAAGGGGAAGATATGGAGGCAGTGACAAATTTTACTTTCTTGGGCTCCATGATCACTGCAGATGGAGACAGCAGCCACGAAATTAAAAGACGCTTGCTTCTTGGGAGGAAAGCAATGATAAACCTTGACAGCATCCTAAAAAGCAGAGACATCACCTTGCCAACAAAAGTCCACATAGTCAAAGCTATAGTTTTTCCTGTAGTGATGTATGGAAGTGAGAGCTGGACCATAAAGAAAGCTGACCACTGAAGAATTGATGCTTTTGAATTGTGGTGTTGGAGGAGGCTCTTGAGAGTCCCCTGGAC